TAAAGATGAGGAAGAAGACCTCGTAGATTACACTACCGATTTAGTGTGCAACGACTGCGTAGACCATTGCGGGATAAGCTTGATCCTAATCGACATCAAAGTACTAGCCTCAGTTTTACTTTGACATCTGACAGATTCAGAAGAGACAAGTGTCCGCGAACAACAAGCAGGATTCTGACCAGGTCGCGGTTGTATCAACCAAATATTCACGCTATGCGACGTCCTCGAGACACGCCATACACCCTTTTAATCAACCATTGAAGTGTTCAATGAACTAAATGCATCGTGAAGCCCTTATGGGTTCGGTTCTTCGCAAAGGAATGCCGTAGATATTAGGTAAAAGGAGATTCAGTTCTTATGGGGTCGTCACTTCGCAAAGGAATGTTACGGTATGTAAACCCATTTCGGTCGCTGTACCTGCAAAATTCTGGTGGTTTATGGGGCTAAGGTAGGCTAAACAAATCGTTCGAAACCAGGAGCGGTGTTCGTCAAGGGCGTCGTCTCTCGCCATTCCTGTTCAATTTCGTCATCGACGAAATACTGGAGAACGCACTTAGTAGTCTCCAAAATGTTGGTATTGAATGGGCAGCTGGAGAAAAGCTGTGCGATTTAGAATACGTTGATGACATCGATGGTATGTTTGAATACACGGAGGATGCGCAATGCGCTCTTGACAGACTTTGAAGTTCTGTAACTTCATTCGGTAAGTGCTTTGCACCTTCAAAGTGCAAAGTGATGCTACAAGAATGGATGTCGTCTATCTCGGTGCAGATGCTTCAGGATCAGGAAATAACCATAGAGGTACAATAGGTGAATCCCATCCTCCGGATTGGGGTCCAAAAGACTGGTTGGTTGGAGGCACTGAAGTATACTGCAACTAACCGACAGTAATGGCGTCCTTGTTATCACTTCTTATCAGGTCAGAATGCTTGAAACGGTCTGTGTACACACTTAGATTGTGTACTCCGTGTGTTGACCATAGAGATTCACTTTCTTTGCCTCCCTCCAGTTAGTCCAAGTTCCTCTTCATGTTGTGCTTTATCATATGATTTGTGTACATTGTGAACTCGGCAGCAATCAGTGAAGTTCGCTTTACTGTATCTTGCTGTACGATGATAATTATTTTGACTGTAGTGAAAAAGAACAACTAGCCACGTGGCGATTTATATCACTGTCAGTGACATCCTACTGATTAACGCCTGAAGTTTAAATCCAGACATTGTTTCTCGCTTTTCGTTACAAATAGACACGCTGTCGTCTGATCCTCTGGAGCAAGTGGCATAAAAGTAGTCTATTTGCATATAACGCCTACCCTATGGGGGTTTGTGGTTCGTCACTTTACGTTCGACGGCTGATTCCCACAACGCATACTGAGTCTTCGAGAACATGGGGTTCACCCGGTCTACTGTTCCTCACAGAATTGTGTGAAATAATAAAAACGTTTCGTGAGTGGCAAAAATAGTGAAACAAAAAGCACACTTTTGAATGTCAATAACGATTTGAGCTGAGATCCGGAAAGAAAAATCAACCAAACTCAGCATCACAGGTAAGAAAGTACGAAAAGTTGATGAACTCTCAAACACGCGGATGTTTACCGTAATGTTTGTTCCTGCAATTGAGTTGATTCGGTGCATATGACGTCGGAAATTAGGCCCATGACTTTCTCTGTCCTATAATTAGAGGGTCAAAAAATTAAACGGATCGCGCAACTCACTCTATCTTTCTCAGTAACAAACAGGAAAGCGTGAATCATCTCATGCTGTAAACGATTAAGATTTTGATAAGTTAAAATCACAACCCACCAACAAGGTTTCAATTAAGTCGCTTCTAGGACGAAGTTTCAACAGCGGTTCGCTGAGACGAATGGAGCACAATCCACCACGTCCCTCATAGCAACATAGGCCGGCGCACAACGTCATTCGCGGACTCCAGCGAATTTCAACTGCTGTGAGCTTTCCATCGAAATAAGTCTGGTCGAACTGCATGAACAAAGCGCGTATGTCTGGTGTGGGATCCAAGGTTTCCCAAATAGGATCGACAAGAGAAGCAACGGTCTTCTGTCTTCGTTCGTTAATTTCTTGTTCATCAGAATTTAATCCAGATTGTTTTGCTTTTTTATGGATCTATTGCTTATGAGTATCAATTGTTTCGAACTTACAAGGGAAGGACGTTCAGTGGGACGGGGTATTAGGACATCGGAATCCAAAGCGTCTGGAAAAATTTCCAGTATGCGGCTAATTTCATCCTCTGACCACATTACTTCGTTTGTTGTCGATCTATTTTGTTGGAAAAAAAATGAGATTTGGATCGAAATTCCCTTTGGGTAGGTGCATTATTACTCATCATCCTCTTCATTGTACAGCATAATACAGTGAAGCAAACTTCACTGATCGCTGACAAACTCATATTGCATACAAGGTAAGTGAAAATGTTTAAGGAGAACAGGGATCCGACTTAATTTTAGGGACGGGAAACGAAAATAAACCCCTATGGTCAACACATAGAGTAAACAGTCCAACTGTGCATACATACTATTTCAAGCATTCTGGTCTGGTAAGAAGTGAAAGCAAGCTCGCCGTTGCTGTCGGTTCTCAGCCATAACCTTCAATGTCTCCAACCATGCGGTTTCGGAAGACGAGAGATGCCGACTTTACCTAATCGCTCTGTGCATTTCTTAATGCCTCGTCTCCACGTAATCTGCTGTTCTCCATGTGGCTTTTTCCAGCCTGCAACACTCACTGCGAATAAGGCGCGCTGCGGTAGGTGACCGTCGGACATATGCAAGACATGTCCTAACCAACGAAACCTATTGAGCGGGATTCGATGCGCTAGCGAGTTCGTGTTCGATGCATTCCCAAACACCCGAAGACTAACTTCTAGGTTACTAACCCGCTCACTCCATCCGACTTTGACCAGACTACGTAAGCATCGATTGTCGAAAACCACTCGGCGACCGATGTCTTCTACCCGCAAGTTCAAGATCGCACAAACGTAAAGCAGAACTGATCGCACAGCGGCACAGTATACGCGATTTTTCAACTTCAATGAAACATCACGTCGTCACCACAGGTGCTTCAATCCTGCGTACGCTGCTGGAGCCTTGGAAATGCAGGCGCTATCGTCCTTTGTCACGCAGCTACCTAAGTACGAGAGGCAGTCAACATCAGCTAATTCCTGACCGTCCGGTTTCAGAGCAGAACTCGGCAACACCCAATCTTGTAGAATCACTTTGCATGTTGAAGGTGCAAAGCACATGCCGAACGGAGCGACAGAACTTGCTAATCTGTCAGGTGCTCTTTGTGCATCCTCCAGACATTCGAACAAGCAGATGATGTCGTCAGCGTACTCCAAATCGCGCCGCTTTACTCCAGCTGCCCATTTTGGAGATCACTTAGTGTGTTCTCCAGTATTTCGTCTATGACGAAACTGAACAGGAATGGCGAGAGACGGCACCCTTGATGTACACCGCTGCTAGTTACGAACGACCTACTCAGCTGACCGTAGACCCTTACGCTACTAGAAGCACGCGAGTAGAGTTAGTTCAGTACGTTTACGTACTTCTACAGCATTCCTGTACGAAGGAGTGAACCCATAAGGGATTCACGATCAACTGAGTCGAAAGCGCCTTTGAGGTCAAGGAACGCGACAACCGTTGTTCGACGGTGCGTATGGTGTAGCTCGAGAAGTTGACGCAAGATGATTTGATCGATACAGCCGCAACCTGGTCGAAATCCTTATTGTTGTTGTTCACGGATGTTTTTCTCCATAAACTGCGTCAGACGTCATCGCCCCCCATCTTGAAAAGAGTGGGAGGAAGCCCGTCCAGTCCTGCTGTCTTTCCTTTCTTCAGGCCTTGAATGCAAGAACGAATTTCTGCTGTAGAAGGAGGTTCAGATGACACTGCTCACCGAGCCTCAGCTATACCGGAGGAGGTGACCTGGTTTGCACCTGACCAGCTGAACTGTTCGTTGAAGAACTCCGCCCACCGGTCAAGCCGTTGTTTCC